ATATTACTATACTTACTATGGATGACACATACACATCATTCATCTACTCTTGGTCCGGCCCCCGGGTCCAATTATAAAATACTTTATTATTTCATAATAAAGTAATTATAAAATAATTTCTTTGTGTTTGATTCCTATTCAAGAGAATTACTTTATATATAGTCAATATAGGCACAGAGGTAAATTTTTTTTAACATTTTCTAATGGTGGTGTGCCTCGTGATTTTTTTCATGAAAAAGTGTGCCTTTGCACAAAAAAGGTTGAAAAACACTGCAGTAAAGCATGCTTGTTATACTCACTGTGCAACCTAAGGGGTTAATCTTCTGCATTGTGTAAAAAGGCTGTTATATATCTTTTGTTCTCTGCCCCTGTTGTTGAAATGACCACCTGTTACAGACTGAATCCTTAGTCACATACACATGCTCAGTTTGGTGTGTATTGCTAGATAGGTTTTTATTTTTTTTTCTTTGGGGAGTGTATTTGACCAGCACAAGGCCAATCAGCACTGTCCAGACAGAGGGTCAGGGGTTTCACATCCTCCTAGAGTGGAAAGAAAACTCCTTCTACAAGCTTTAAACAGTGCTCTGCTGAAGTCACAAGACTACTCTAATTGCTGATGAGAAAAGGTATTTAGCAGTTTATATTTACTAAAATAATTGCATAGTGATATAGTGAATGCAGGGTCCTGGGTTTGGTAACACTTTAACAGCCTTATTGTGTAACAATTTCTCAATATATGAGCAGGCCCCCTTCAATACTCTGACTACAAGAGTTAGTATTTAAAGGGGGGTGTCACGGTATAGGGGCCTGCCAATTATTAATACCCTTATTAATGCCCTGTATCACATGCCCTCAACATCCTGCTCTGTATTGTTCCAATTGTCCCCTGTGTCACTTGGCCAAATGGCCTAATTCAATGGCCTAACTCAATTACTGTGGGCCCCCCTCCCTCCCGGCCAGCTTGCTGCCAGCTCGCCACTCACCTCCCAAATTGCCTTTCATCTATGCTGACATCATCCCTGTCCCCTGGATGTCCCTGTCACCAGCCTGATTCATCGCTGGGGTCTATTGTTCCCTCCTCCACCTCTCATCCTGCCGCCTCAGGATGAGAGGTGCGATTTCTACCACCCTCGTCCTGTCTCTCCCTCTCTGGCAGGGAGGAGGTGGCGAGGTTCACACCTCTCCACTAAGAAGTGCGAACCTCCCGCAGGGATGGCGCAGGCTCCAGCGTCTAGCTGGCGCCATCTCAGCCCTGACATCCGCAGCACGGGCACGCAGAGCTCCCACACTCGCAGATGTCCTGGAACAAAGGTAGCGCCCATGAGAGCACCGGCCTGGCCCCAGTTGCCAAGGCGACCGGGAAGCTTAAGAGGCTGGTGCCGGGCGCATTCCGTTGTGCAGTCATCAAAGGATCCCCAGCTGCGGCAGGACCTTTGTGACTAGACTCTGCAAGCCCACCCCCAGCCTCACAGAGACCCCACAGGAGGGGAGAGACGGCCAGAGACAGCCTGCCTGCCATTGCCAGAGACCCCACAGAAGGGGAGAGACTATCACAGTCTGCCTGCCATTGCCAGAGACCCCACAGAAGGGGGAGAGACTATCGCAGCCTGCCTGCCATTGCCAGAGACCCCACAGAAGGGGGAGAGACTATCGCAGCCTGCCTGCCATTGCTAGAGACCCCACAGAAGGGGGAGAGACTATCACAGCATGCCTGCCATTACCAGAGACCACCCGCCTGATCCGGACTCCACAAGTACCTGTGTTGCACTTCTACCCCTGGGAGACCAGGCGACCAGGCACCCTGTTAGATCCGTCAGTACCTGCTTCCCCCCTGTGTTACCTAAACTGTTGCTGTTGTGACCCCTCGCACCTCCCTCCTTTGTCAGACTACCCTTGTTACAGGAACACCCCCTTGGCTCTCTATGGTGGACTATAAGTGGGTGGGGCATCTTCGCTACCCTTTAGTGGCAAATTCACCCTCTCTGCCAACCCCCTTATTGAAGGACTGTCTGTCTCAATAAAGCTTTGTGCGCTTGCCATCTACTCTGTGTGTTCTGACCTGCCTACGCTCCGTTACAGGGGATTATAGCCAAGTGTTGGAATACAATGTTCATGTAGTTTGCAACTACTTCAGTGTTCAGTAGAGATATATTCTTCAACCAGTACAGTAGATGGCAGTGTTTATACGTTTGTAGCTGCATCTATGATACTGTATGCTCTATTGTAATTTCTATGAAAATAAAGCTCCTGTTTCCTGTTTTCCTGCAGATAACCACATGTGGACTGTGCACTGCCTGTTCTGTAGGACTATATACAGAATCTCTAACATCAAGCTATTTCACTTTAAGAGATATTTGGTGTTATGCACAGTATAAAGAGGCTTCATCCTCCTCCCATTCTCTATTCATGTGCTCAAGAACAGTGGCTACTTAAAGTGTTACTAAACCCAGGTCCCTTCATTCACTATATCTGGTCTCCCACAGTAAACAGAACATGGAAATGCAATTATTTTAGTAAATATAAACTGCTAAATACCTTTTCTCATCAGTAGTTAGAGCAGTCTTGTGACTTCTATCCAGCTGGACACTGGTTAAAGTTTGTAGGAGGAGTTTTCATCTTGCTCTAAGAGGATGCAGAACCCCTGACCTCTGTCTTGACAGTGCTGTTTGGTCCTGTGCTGATCACATGCACTCTCCCAAGAAAAAAGCTGAGCTACATTGTGTAGAAATGCAAATGTCAACAGAGTTGTAGGTAAGCTGCGGTGGGGGATGGAAAAAAGCTGACAACGTTCTATACTACATCACAGCTTACTGTAAGAGTGCTTTTTAAAGTGTTACTAAACCCAGGACCCTACATTCATTATATCTGGTCTCCCACAGTACACAGAACATGGACATGCAATTATTATAATAAATATAAACTGCTAAATACCTTTTCTCATCAACAGCCAGAGCAGTCTTGTGACTTCTATCAGTGTCTAGCTGGGCACTGGTTAAAGTTTGTAAGAGGAGTTTTCATTTTGTTCTAGAGTGATGCAAAACCCCTGACTTCTGTCTGGACAGTGCTGATTGGCCCTGTGCTGATCACATGCACTCTCCCAAGAAAAAAAAAAACCTCTCTAGCAATACACACCAAACTGAGCATGTGCAGAGGGTCTCCATGCAATATGTCTTATCAGGAGATGAGGGGGGACACTGGAAGAAGGGGAGGATCAGAGAAGTCAGGATCAAACTGCTTTTTTACACAATGCAGAGGATTAACCCCTTAGGTTTCACAGTGAGTATAACAAGCATGCTTTACTGCATATACAGACTCATCTTACTGTTTTGGGTTTAGTAACACTTTAAGTTGGTATATTGGTTCTTTAACTCTGAAACCCCTCCCGTCATGTGCATAGCTCGGCGCTACCTCTTCTGCTCTCTATAAATTAGAAAACTTTAAATTATGCATCCCTGCTGCTGTTGCCTCTTTTCCCATAATTTCATTCCCCCTACCCCCAGAGGATGAGGTACTGAAGCTGCTTGGCTAGAAGCTGCTTCACAGCTGGCCATTCTGCTAATGACTCCATCTAGCCACCTCAACTAACATACTTTTCAAACTTTTCTCCTAGAGAGAAACTTGTTGGTCAATTGGACCCTGAGATGTACGCCCACCCATCAGAGTAGGGAGTTCTTCCAAAGAGTGCGTGCTGAGATCTACATTTATGTTTACATTTGTAAAAGTGTATATAGTTGACTAATTGTACTCAGGGGCGGACTGACATCTCATGGGGCCCCTGGGCAATAGGGGATCATGGGGCCCCTGTGTCCTTGCCCAAACTTAAAAAAGCCTATGAAAAAGGTACCAGGGGCATCTCATGGGGCCCCCTACTGACCCTGGGCCCTCGGGCAGTGCCCAAGTTTCCAAATGGTCAGTCCGCCCCTGATTGTACTGTAACTGCATTGTTGAAAAGTTTTCTTGTAATGTGACTATACAGCACTCAAAAAATTAGAATTGTAAATGTCTTTTGATGACTGAATGATACAACTAATGCATTAAAAACAAAGGTCGCAGTTCAAATATTTCATGTTTCATAGGTGCTACAATTTTGTGAAGCTAGCTACGTATGGAGGTGAAAATACAACACGTTCTTTGAACCATCTCAACAGGGAGGGAAACAGAAGGGAATGCTATGCATTTTGAGGTGATGCTTGAGCAAATCATGATCGCCTTGAAAAGTGTAGCGATCCCTTGCCTGTTGGCGTCTGACATAACTGACTTTGTTCCCACGCAGTTAGAGGAGCTTCTCTGCTTCTTGGTAGTCTATGGGTCAACGCTGCTAGCTGCACGTGGTGGACTGGATTCCCTGCATTTGTGATACTGTGCTTCCAGCAGCAGACCACTAGATTGAGAAACTGTTGCATGTGAGTTGCCAATCATGTTTTTATTTAATCAATATATATATATATATTTGCTACACTTAGATCATGCCCTCTGCTGTCTTTTTGTTGCTCTAGATATCTTTTTAGTCTCCTGAAGTGCTGCACTGACTGGAGGCAGTGGAAACTATCCCATGTTGTACCTGTCAAGGACAATTATGGATTTTGTGTTGTGTATCCACTGAGGAACTCATGGTTCACTGCTTGAGCTATTACCTGATGTTTTTTTTTCTAATCTTTGAAACATCTAAACTCCATATAACATGCACATTCAGGGGTACATAGCAAGTTTAATTTCATACTCCATGATTAGTGCAGCTGACAAATTGCTTATATGTGATGAATCGGCAAACAAGGTCTGAGAGCCTTTGCTGTGTCCAGAACTTCCCCACATACATTGTAAGCCTACTGTCCTGAAATCACTTGTGGCAATCTCATTTCTTTTATGGCATCTTTAAATATTCTCCTGTCCTCTTTGCTGCTGTTACACAGTTAAAATTATTCTTCAAAATAAAGCTCTCAGATGAATCTATATTTTTGCAAATGGTAATTATATATTTTATGTGTTCATATTTTTTTCAGGTACTATTTTTCATTGCAAGAAAACAGTTCTCACTTCTCAATCACCGTGACTCCTTGTGATGTACCTATTGAATGGAGTATCCTACAGTACAGAGTATCACATGCATTCCATGGAAAAGCAGTAGGTATGAATATACATATAGAAGGTATTGGGAGCCTCACAAGAAATGCAGATCCTATATTCTGACAAGCCAGTTATCATACAAAGGCTTTCTACAGTGCATGCAAAGGCATTCACACCTTCTACAGCTGATGCCATATTCTGAGTGAAAATTTTATGTTCACAAATGTAAAGTTGGGTGGTGAACCAATTTTCGAAAAGTCAAACTGATCGCACTGGCTCTTGGAAAGGGTAGACTGGCTGTTGGAAAGGGTGGAAAGGCAAAGTCTATAATAAAGGGCATGAATGGAAGACTGGTGGAGCCTTCAAATGTCACTAGGAAGCAAAAATGGCACACTACTAAACAACTGCAAATATCTGCCTGGATATGTGTATGATCCAAGGTAGTTCTTGCATCTAGAACATTAGTTTGCCAAAGAGGTTCATGGCAGAATTACTAGTTCTTATTTTTATGAACACACTAAATGTAAAAAACCTGAAAATTACTTTAGAAATATAAGTATATAAGAAGTTAGTGATTGGGTTTACATTTACCTTATTAGGCTAAGTTTAAGTGAAGAAAAGCACTGCTCCAATGAAGCACTGACATTTTTTTCCAAAAATGTTTCTCCACTGAAAACAGGATGGGCAACTCATTACTGATCTATATTAATTATTTATTTTATTTTTTTGCTAACTAAATGTATGTAAGTCACTGACTGAGTGTAATTAATTACAGAAACTGCATCATTTACATTTGTCAATAATTAAAGAGCTTGCTAAGGTCGAGTTTCCAAACTTGATTGACATTCACGCTGGGTTCATGAACTGATCAACTCAGCAGGTTACATGCTTTGGATTCTAAATGATGAGCATTCTCCTGTATGTAGGGAAGCTGATTTTTAGAGTAAACAAATCAATTTTATGTGTTTCATGTGTGTTTATAAAATGTGATTTTTATAAAAGCACATCAAGAGATTTTAATTAATCTTCAGTATCCAGGTGGTTGAAAATTGTTTAGTAATATTACCAGCAGAATGCACAGTTACATTAGTTTCAGTCTATGGTATCTTTTTTTTATAGTCATTACATTTTCTACAATTAAAACAAGTGTAGAACTACCCCAAAGAAGCCACTAGTGATGATAGGTCCTCTGCTCTGCCACAATGCTCTAAACTGCTCGGTCCCCACTGACATACTTGATCATATAATAAAGACCTTTTCACCTGTGGATTTAAGGGTTGGCAGACTACCACTTTAAGAAGGAACAGGAATGAGGCCAAAAACATCCTGATGGTAAATCAATTGAATGTATTAAGGCAATTCAATGCAATATAGTACACATCAAGAAACAGATAAATTCATGAACAAAAGAGTGCTATAATAGACAAATGGGCAACAAACTAGCTTGCACTTAACGAAACTATACCACTGCTAACTTGAATCTTAACCAGGTTACTAGACTCTCTAAATATCAACCAGTTAAGAGGAATATAAAGTGGACATATGTGTTGCTAGTGTGGGGTACCTCTGGAGGTGGTAGAAAGTACCTGGCACCTAGTAATTCACTTTAGCCAGCTTTCGGTAGGGCCCTTCTTTAGATGGTGCACTGTCCTTTTAAGAATGTTAGTAGATCACAGGGGCTAAGCTAAGTGGGAGCGGTCTCAATTTGGGTTAACACAGTGTGGTGGGCATTTAGGACATGTAGTTCAACTCACCACTTCTTGGCAGGAGGCTACTCAGGTCCAAATGACTTGAATCCTCATACAGGCTGCAGTCTATCAGTCTGGACTCTGAAGATGCAGTGGTTCTCTCTCTCAACTCAGTCTCTGAAGGCAGCTCCCACAAGCTCAGGTCCATCCTTTCTCCCTGAGGTGAGGGAACAGGCACAGCAACAGGTCCTCATAGCTCTTCTCTAATGACTCCAGTCCCTCAGACATGTAGCACAGTCCCTGACAACAGGTCAATCTTTGCTGCTGTCTTCCCTGGACTGCCTCTCTCTGGGCAGATTTGCCTGGGAAAAAGAGTGAAGCTTTCCTCTTCCAGGAGCAAGGATTTGTGGGAACTGAAGTCCAGTAGTCATAGTCTCCATAAACAAGGAAGGAAGTACAGATTCATTTTAAGAACTACAATCTCCATAGTCCATAGCTCCTGCACAATGAGTCCTCTCTGATGCTCCCATTGGCTCTTGACTCTTTTGCCCTCTGATTGGATCTGATCCACACTGCCAGGAGCAAGGGGGGAGAGCAGGAGACGGGGGGGGGGGGGGGGATTTTAGATTGATCCACATCACACAGCCAGAAGGGAGAGAGCTGGCTGCAGACACACAGTCCCAGTCTCTGTTTACAAAGAGCTTTTCTGGAGCAAGCATTGGGGGGTCCACAGACAGCCAGTGGCAGCACCCGGCTACACAAGATACAATTTTTTGTGTTGTTTATTATCGTTTTTATTCCCAACTGGTCAATTTATTTTGAACAATAAAAAAAATGCATATCTTTTAGAAGATTAGAAAAATATGTCCATTTATTGAAATCTTTCTTTTTAGCAAGACAATATTTTTATTTGTTCTTAGTGGTTTCCCCAAAATATCTATTCATGTAAAGTACAACAACATTTTTATCTTTGTTTTTTTTTTTCAGTCTGGCATATGGCTTGGCCATTTTGTTCTTGCTATTGGTTATTGAATAATGTAGACATATCTTCACTTGATGCACAATTTGAATCCATGTTATGTTTTTTATTGCAGAAAAATACAGATCATTTGATGACCTAAAAGCTCGATCCTACTACAAGACCGTTTCTATGTTTTTTCATTATAAAGGAAACTCAGTCGAAAACTATGTTGGTACATCTTTGCATTCTTCAGTTTTTGTCCTTGAATTTCTATCAACTGAGAGAGACACTCACATCTCAGTGTATCTCACAACTGACTTAGCACATAACCTATTTCCTGAGCTTCCAGGAGATCCTCGGATTGACGTCAGCTCAGTCAATCACAATTCTGTTTCACTTGTCTGGAAACCAAGTCCATCTGCCACAAAGCAGAAGGAGAATGTTCAATATTGCGTTCTTGTCAACGAAAAGCATAACTACAAAAGTCTGTGTGCTGCTGACACTGCAATACGATCTGCAACTAGAAGATGGCCAAAGTTACCAAATTATCCTACTTCACAATATCTTGATGACCATCATCGGGTTATGCTACTTTCAAACAGTGATATTAGTGTTATTCACAGATCCAACAGTGTAGATGTAAGGCAAATGTGTATTGGAAACAAAAACACATACACAGTTTCCAATCTGAGCTCTAACACTCAGTATTATTTTGATGTTTTTGTTGTCAGTCTTCTAACCAATGCCAGTGCTGCCTACACGGGTACCTTTGCAAAAACGTGGATGGAGCCAAAGCCTAAGATTATGCCTCTAAAAGATGGTAAAATAGTTCAAATAAAGTTTGATGGTAAAAACCAAAAAGTTTACAGCTTTCAGTATCAGGCAATAAATAAAAAGGTCCAGTTCACTTTGCAGCCATGCAGGGGCCAAATACGAGCTCAAATATCAAGAAATGGGAAGTTGCTGGTGTCAGAAACCATTCAAAGTTTAAGACATATAACATTTAAAGGAAAAATGATGGATAAATACTTGGCTGTTCTCAAATCATCAGATTCAATTTCAAATTCCTCTGCCATGATCCAGGCATCATCTCATATCCACAAGACCTTATTCCCATTTTTTCCTGCAAGTTTGAAGATTAAATCCTTCAACAAACTTAGAACCTGTGACTCAATAACAATTGCATGGCTTGGTACACAAGAAAGGAATATGTATTGTGTCTACAAGAAGAAGATTCGAGAAGATGAAATTCTGAGAGAAACGACTAGTGTTGACCAGTGCTTAGGACCTGAATCCCGGCCAAGATCTGAAAAAGTTCTCTGCAAGTACTTCCATGATATCAATGTCCAGAAAGCAGTGACTACAGAAACTATTGGTGGTCTAGAGAAAGGCACACCATACCTATTTGATGTGTATCTTGTTGGATCCTCTGGAATACTGGTTAGATATCAAAGCAAAGCAGTTAAGACCAGAAAAACATGTTGAACACAGATTTTTTTTTTTTTTGTACTGACTTCATAAAACAGAAAATATGAATAGAAAAGAAACTCACAAAATTAGGTTTGTTTTTACTTTTCTATGGAAACACACTTCGGTTTGCTACAATTAACAGTATGGAGCTGTTGCTACTCTCTCATGGTATTTACCATTACCTTTTGTATTTGATGTTTGTACTCCGCTCAATATATTGCTTAATATATTGTTTCTATTTAAATGGAAACTAAGGTTATTCATGCAAGGCAGACTAGTACAAACTGAAAGATTTACAAATCAGATATGTGTCAAGTTTTATTCAAACTTGGTTGAACTCTGACAGGAACTGATATTTATTCCTGTAGAACAGTACATTTTTCTAGTAGATGGCTTTCTTTTATATGGCTGTCCACATACATTTAGAAAACCATGTATTTTATAAATATAAATAAAGGCCTTTCAATGTTAAAGTATAGTTATACTTCTAAAAAGAATTCCCTAGGTTAGCCCCCTCATCCAAAGGCACTCTCAAAAAGTAAAGATTTGCTATGTTCTAGGGAACATCTAGAAATGTTATAGGTGCTACTGTCTGTGCTCAGGGCTGCTCGCCCACACCCCCGTGTTTGTCAGTTTAGGGCGCACAGATGCTGTATTCCTAGAGACAGACTTACATGGGCTGTCTGCACACAGCATCTGGCTGTACCTGCCACATAAACAAATGACCCGTTCACAATGTATGGGCCTCAGCACCCGTGAAAACGAGGTCTAACCAGTACGCTGAAAATTGTACCTTTTGTCTGAAATTCTACCTGAAACATATATGTGAGGGTGCTTGGGTACGCCTATGTACAACCTCATAGATGTATGTATATCTGCAGTGCAAGGAGCACTACTGCCTGTAACTGCTTGTCTTTTGGGAATAAAATTTGGTGATGTCACGACTGTGCTGTTTGCTGGAGAGGAATCTGCACTTCATGCATCTCACAGCTTCTGGTTTATTTGATCTGTAGGTCTGTGTTTTGTGAACCCCCCTTTTTGCTTCTTAAAGATTACCCCACCAGTCATAACAGGGGCAGCTCTGACATTAGGAAGCAGAGCCCTGCTTCTCTACGAAGCTGGCTCCCTCCACTCAGAAATGCAGTGCAGAGCAAGACATGGTAAATGGTATAAGTAAATGTTTGGCTGGTTACTAGTCTTTTCTGCCACAACTGCCAGAGTTCAGGTCCTCTTTAAGCTGCAGCAGTCTAGTCTCAAGAAGAGTGCGTCTGAGTGTTCCAAGTTTGTCTATATCTTGGAGAAAAAGGAAAAGGGAGTGTCAGATAATGGAGTCCTCCTACACCTAAAGTTACCATTTTTTTGGGCAACTCAGCTAATTGTCCTTTGTAAGCAGAGCTTCAGTAGCCAGATCCTTGAAGGCAGCATACATTTCCAAGCGTGCTGTAGGACTAAAGCAAGAGATTCTTTGTGCAGAAAATCTTGGCATCATACAATATCTTGCAAAGATTAATGGCAAATGGTATCATGCTGTTTGTCTATGAAGTCTACTCTGCAAGACTATAATAGCAATGAACTAATAAAACACAGGCATGTAATTCTGTCATTTCACCAGGGTGATTAAAAAAACACCAATCAATTGGTGGTGGTCTTGAGGGGAGGTAGGGATGGTAATGAGTGAAGAACCTAATTTACATTCACATCTGAGCAACCACATTCTTCAGTTTTCTACCTTGAAGCCTACACTTTTGTTAGTTTCTGGAACTTATTCTTTGATCTCCCTATACTAGGTGTTGGCTGATTACTCATTTTTCGGTGTCTCAGATGACCAGAAAATTGAGTAAAGTGCTGTTGGTTCTAAAGGGTACTGAGAACTTTTAAAAAATGTGGTGAATTGTTATATCAAAGTTTAATACAGTTCAATGATTCCAAATGTAAAATATTGCACCTAAGGAAGAAGAATCCCTTAACAGAGTACAATATTGGGGGTACAGTGTTGGCCAGCGCTACAGAGGAAAAATGATTTTGGGGTGCTTATTTTCAGACAATTGCAAAATGAGCAGTGTGGCCAGGCAGTAGGAAACGTTAACAGAATTCTAGGATGTATCTCCAGAGGGATAATCAGCAGGAGAAATGATGTCCTGATTCCTCAATGTACTGTAGATCTTTAATTAGACCTCATTTAGAATACTGTGTCCAGTTCTGGATATCTCACATAAAGCTATTGATAAGATAGAATGAGTTAAAAAACAGTCAACAAAAATGGTGAAATGTCTTGAGGGCAGGGGTGGACTGACAACTCCTGGGGCCCCTGGGCAATAGGGGATCATGGGGCCCCTGTGTCCTTGCCCACACTCAAAAAAGCCTATAAAAAAGGTACCAGGAGCATGTCATGGGGCCCCCTACTGACCCCGGGCCCTAGGGCAGTGCCCGAGTGCTTGAATGGTCAGTCCGCCCTTGCTTGGGGGATACAACATATCAGGAGTGACTTCAGAAAGCATGTGCAGACTGGAAATATGATGGAAAGGACAAAACAAGATGGAAACTTGTAAACACATTAAGGGTGTAAATAAGGATCAAGAGGGCAGTGTTTTCAATATGCAGTTAAGATCAGAACTCGGCGACATGATCTCAAATCAGCAGAAGGGAAGTTCAAAACTGTTATTAGGAAGTATTATTATACTGAAAGGGTAGTTGATACTTGGAATAGACTTTCAGCAGAGGAAGAGAGTCCGTCAACAGTAAGTGAATTCAAACATGCATGAGACAAACATAGATCTATTTGTATATCTATCACTCTTCTATGATTCTGTTTCTCTGCCAGATCTGTCACTGGCCACAATCATTTTTCTATGTAATTTGTATTCAGTGTAAGCATTGCTATACTGAGCAATTATAACTACCTGTATTTTCAATATCCAGACATAGTGTAGTGCAGATATTTTGTAATTTATTTGGCAGATCAGTCTACAGATAATTGGTATTGGTTGGTGTTTGATCTTAGAGAGCCAAATCGCCTAGCAGTTTCTCATGCTCAAGGTGATTGTAACCATTTTAGTGCATTTGCAACAAAACAATTTAGCACTGTCCATGATACTTTTTATTTGCACTAACAGTTCAGTTTTCAGGACAAGCTTTCAGGGCCTACCCCTTCTTCTAAGGTCCAAGGAAAATTGATATACGAGGGCTTTTGAAAAAAAAAAAGTTTTCTATTTTAAGAAGATGTTATGCCCCAAAGTTTGTCCTGAAAATGTAAAAAAAAGTATCATGCCGTGACTCATGATATCGAACATGACTCAACTGAGTTGTTAAATTTCTCAGATAACTCTGGCAGTGAAAGCTATGCTCTTGACCTCAAAGGTTTTTACACCTTTGAGGTCAAGAATGAGGAGCTTCCACCCTCTCTGATGGATTTTTAATTTATTTGATGTAATATAGAAGGAAACAGAAGGCGTGCAAATGCCCTAATGTGGATGGGGACACCCAAAACTCCACAACAAGCAGAAACATAGTCAGAAACTATGGAGGTAATCTAATTCCTGGGGCTGCCATAAGGTATTAAAATCAGTGGGTGATTCAGCCCTACAGATGTACTTGTACCTGAAATTTTACTTTTATATGGACTGATCTTTTAACCACTTGCCCTCCTGAGGATTTACCCCCCTTCCTGACCAGGCCATCTTTTGCGCTACGGCACTGCGTTACTTTAACTGCCAATTGCGCGGTCATGCAATGCTGCACCCAAATTAAATTTACATCCTTTTTTTCCCATGAATTGAGCTTTCTTGCAGTGGTATTTGAACACCTGTGCATTTTTTATTTTTTGCACTATAAAAAAAAGACCAACAATTGTGAGAAAAAAAACAATATTTCTGACTTTTTCCTATTAAACATGTCCAGTAAAAATTCAAAAAATCTAATTTCGTCATAAATTTAGGCCAAAATGTATTCTGCTACATGTCTTTGCTAAAACAAAAATCCCAGTAAGTGTAAATTAATTGGTTTACGTGAAAGTTATAGCTTTTACAAATGGTGGTATATATACTGGAATTGTTTTACATTTTTTTTTACTAGTAATGGCGATGATCAGTGACTTATTGCGGGACTGAGGTGGGCATTCTGACACTGGGGGGAACTGACTTGGTGTCACTGACATCCCCAGTGACACCAATACAGTGACCAGTGCTAAAAAATAAAGCACTGACACTGTACTAATGACACTGGGCAGGAAGGGGATAACATGAGGGGCAATCAAAGGCTTAACTGTGTGCAGGGAGTGTTTTTCTGGGGGCCGGTGTCTGTGTGCTTCACTATAAGCACACTGCTTTGGATGTCTGTGCTCTGCTTACCTGCAAAAAAGGTTTGTATTTCTGTTCAACCAGTCCTATAGTTGGCAGCCCTGATAGCACATACACCCTATCTTTGCTGCAGTGAAGCAACAAAGCTGCGTCTCCCCTTGTGATTGGACAGTGAAGTAGTAGCTGACAGATTGCTGGGGTCATCTGTTTGCTCTTTTCCCCTCTAAGCATATTGCTTGTCAGCTAATATGAATGCAGCACACCTGACTGACCCAAGTTTCTGCCCTTCCTTCTTACAGTCTATAGGGTTTAATACATACAAGAATAAAACTGAAATCAAGGAAAATGTAGGTATTCATACTAGCCAAATGTAAAATACATTTAATGGTTAAACAAATGCAGCTGTTTTGTTTTCTTCCTTGATTCTTTCATAAATCAGGTCAAATATGCATTAATCATGTACAGTGACAAAACAAAATTAAACAGCTAGATAGCATTATATTTACTACTGTGCTGATGAAATTGAACTAGCACTAAAGCAAGCCACCAAAGATGTTTCAAATTAAATGTTCTAGCTGCTGTAGGATCACACATTGTAGCTGTATCGTACACTGTCATGTCTCATAGCTCCCATGTGGGTTTATTAAAGGATGTAATGTATATATAATTTAGTAAACAATGGACCAATGCTATTGCAATACTATTACTAACAGTCAGTTA